TGGTGCCGGGGGGCGGGGATGGGGGCGTGCCGGGTGCGCGTGCCGCGGGCCTGTATTCCGGGGCCGGGCTCCGCGTTCCCGGGCCGGGACCCGCGCCAGCCGCCAGAGGCTTGCATGGTGGCCCTGGCGCTACCAGGGAGGGAACCGTGCCAGATTAAAGGCTTTGGTGGGGGGAAGCTTGGATCTGTCCGTCAGCAGCTGCTGACGAGCATTCCTGTGAAGAATGAAGATTTAAAAGAAAAAATAATAATAAAAAAAAATAAATTTGAGTGGAGAGAATTCCTTTGTGGAACTCCTTCACTCATGTGGAACTCCTTCATTCGTAGACGCTTTCATCTATGCTAATAATGAAGCTATAAACCGTCCCGGAGCAGGGGTTTTAAATAATTTGAGCAGTAATGTTGCAGAAAGAGGTCTTGGCTTGTAATTCCTAGCATTTCTCTGCAGGTCGGGCTTCCCCTAAAGCTTTGAGTAGGCGGGATGGATTCGGGAGCTAAATCGGGCCAGGCCCGGGGCAGGGACTTAGTGTCGCACACCCCGCCTGAGGCAGAGAACTCTCCTTGCTGCCGTCTCAGGGCTGTAATAGAAAGAAATACAACAGCGGGGTTTAAAGAATCCGTCATCGGGCATCAAGGGGTAGGGAGTCCTTCCGTTCTCCAACCTTCTTAGGATACCATCGTGATTGATCTTTCTCTAATGGAAGCTGTGACACTGAAAATGGTGCAAAATTATTTCAAAATTACAGCACTGAACTCTGGCTGCAGCATGGCACTGGGCATGCTAGTGCCACAAGCTTTCTGGTCAAGCTCTATAATATGAGATCATACCTTATATAGCACCAACATTTTGTCTGATATCATGAGAAATATAATTTGAGCATAAAATATGCAGATAGGCACAAAACTGGAACTCATTATTTTCCCCTTATAAATGTTCACAGCAATACATATACCTCATTCTAGAATCTTTTGCCCCTGAGACACAGTTGAGCAAGTAAGGAAACCACCAGAAAATTTCACCTCTATTAGAGGCATTTAAGTCCTCTTTGAATGAGCCTTTTCACATAGTAGAAGCCTACTTCAACAGTTGTTGAAGTTCTCTCACAAAGTGGCAATGGAGGGTTGTTTTTAGCTGCAGCATCTACTAAGGTCATCATGATCTGATGAGCAAAAATTCCAACCTGAGGAGTCACTAACTGTGCACAATTAGAAACACTAATTGTGTTTCATTAAGGCCTGCAACAACATTGGTTGGTGTTCATTTCCAGAAAAGCATAACGGAAGGGCTGCATTTGCAGATGGATTTTAGTAAGCATGAAGGAATGTGTGGCTTCAGAAATACATGTATTTTTAAATCAATTTGGTTGCAAATATCTATGATAGGATCTTCAGTTCCATTTAAGGTTAAGTTTGGGGTAAAAGGGAGCTGCATTTTGTAGGATCTGCAGGAGCACTGGCCTCAGACCTTGTCCCATTCCCTTTTTTAAGTGCTGAGCTGAACCTGACATTCAGCTGTAATCACATATTGGTGACCAATGTCCACAGCAAAGCAAAGCATAGCTTATTTTTCCATTCCACAACTGGCTTTTCCAAAAGGTTGTAGCTGAGGGAGGATATTGCAATGAAGCAGAAAACCAAAGTATTTCTGGACAAAGGGGAGTAGAGTTGTTACTGTACCCTAACAGTGATGAATTTGTAGGATTGGATCATCCCTCAACTCTAAAATAAGCTTCATGAGACATAATACTGTTAGTGAATAGACTAAGTTGGCCTTCACAGCAAAGGGCAGGAGGCACAGTGGCATTTGTAGCCATAAAACATGGCAAGATTTCTGGTCACAGGACCCCCTCTACACATACCTAGTGTTTAAGAGGCTGCTCTCAGCTAAGAGTGAAAGAGAATATCTTCCAAAGACCAACTTAGATCATAGAATCCAGATAAGCCCTTCTGAGCCTTCTAACTACTAAAGCAGCCTCCAAATATGTTGGGGTTTTTTTTTTTTTTTGGTGTGTTTCACATAAGGTTACAAGAAAGCAGAACTGCATTGTTTGTCGGGTACATGCTAGTGAAAAAGAGCAGGTTTCTTGTCTCAGACCAAATAATTTATGTTTATTTATCAAAATGGAGAGATGATACATGCTTCTATCCTGCTTTTCATGTTAATTTGTTTTGCATGGTGCTGGTTAAAAAACATGATGAATCTTTCTTCATAAAATAGTTTTAAAATACATGACTACCATTGACACTTAAAATGTAGCCTTTAAATATGTGTTTAGCTTTCAGTCTTACATCTTTGGGAAAATGCAGGTATTTGAAAATTGAAGGAGTTTGCAATGGGTACTCAAACCAGTCTTTGTGATGCAAACATCTACTGCTACTTTGTAATTAGATGGATGAAAAGCAAAGGAGATCAAATGGTATCAAGCTGATTACTAGCATAAAGGGATAATTGTACATAGTTAGAGACCAATGAAATGACAATAATTACCCTATTCCCACACTGGGGATTTTATGGTGTATCTGACAAAACCTTCTGTTGAAACTTTCTGATTCTGAATTGTATTTTAAAAATACCTTCCATCTTTCATGTTGGATTCTACTGTGCAATTATTTTCACAGAAGGAAGGAGATTTTTCTATGTCAAAATGTCAAAAGCTTATGACCACATATGTTCATCTGCTGCTCTAGCCAAGCAAATCCTGCAGCAGTGATTGAAATCAGGAGAAGTATGTTTGTCTGTGCCGACTATGAATTAGTTTTGAAGCAGGTGCTGTTCTGAGCTTTTGAAGGAAACAGGTAGAAGAGAGGCAGGAGGTTGAACTGATTAATGGCACTAACACATCTAAATTTTTGTAGTTCTATAGGTTGCTGAAAAACATTTCCAGTGTTTTCTATTTCCCCCCCGCATCTGTCATGATTATATGATGATGGAAGGCCAGGTATTTTGTTATAACTTAAGAGTGGATACTGGGGTGGTTATTATGTGACTCTACCAGATTATATGTTTGAGTGCTGTGTGAACATAAGATCCGCCTCCTCTCATGTGGAGTGCTAGATGCAGCCCTGGCTTATAGGTAGATCTGTGCCTTGTACAATGTGGTCTCACCATCTCTCTTCTGCT